AATATTTGCTTATAAATTAAGAAGTTGGATAATATATAGAACTAAAATTTGAATTATAATCTACAGTTTGATACCAAAATAATTGATATAAATTCATGAAATAGTAGTTCAATAAAATTTTGAATGCAAGTCAACAAACAAGATGACATGGCCTTTTACCCGTGACCCATCTCAAAAGGGTTAATGTGGTTTGCGAATTTCATATCGTAAAGGATGGAACTTTTAACTTCAGCAAAACCTTTGCCAGCAAGAATTATTTCACCAGGTATTAGTTAAACCAAGATTCTATAATTACGTGACTTATATATTTGGTACTAGCATATCCGACAGAGCCTTTGTGGGGTTATACTTATTAAGAATTTCCTTATATTATTATGGTGCTTATAACTGGACCTTTTTTTTTTCATCCTCATGGTTTACTATGCCAGATATCTGATAAAAGCAAACACCTTTGTCCCATTCACAAAAAAGCATCATTATTCATAAATTAATTATGTAGTTCTGTACATCTCATTACAAAGCCCTTTGTAATGTTACTCCAATATGGAAAATCAGAAGTTTTATAATGTCACATGAAAAGGGTCTATGCAAGTGGTGTACTAAAATAGAGTTAGAACCTTTAAACAGTGGACAAGAACAAAGAGTTAAAAACCACAGAACTGGAAAGGTGTCTTAGTGACAATAACCAGAAAGTGGTGTACATATTATGTGAAGATATTCATACTTGTTCCTTAATTCATTATAAATATTGGTTTTCACAAAGTTCCTAAAATTTTCCTTTTAGAAACAACAAAGCTGAAAGAAATAACTCAGCATGACAAGATATACTAACCTTATTTAAAGTTTTGAAGATATCAATGGTTGAAAACAAAGATATAGCCTTATCTAAAGTTCCAAGAGGCTCACAAACATCATGAGAAGTATGATAAACTTAAGTTACACAACACTCAAAATTTCCTAATATGTTTTATTACAGGCTGTTATATAACTTACATAACACTACATAGAGTTAAAAAACACTGACTAAAATACTTCCACCATTTGACAACAGTTTGAAAACAATCCAACACAAATAGAGACATCCTTACCTTCAAATATTGTAGTTTGCCATTTTGAAGTAATGCACAGAAGAAAACTGACTTCTATGAGTTGTTTACTATAGGTCTACAAACTCGAAGTTCCCCATAGTTTCACGTGGTTCAAACTATTCCAAGTGGCAAATCCCAACATTAACTCTTCCTACTCCTGTTGTATTATATCTGTATTAGATATAACAAAAAAGTTACTCTAAGGTGACTGACTACTGATTGGTGAAACATTTACTTCTGATGTCTCTTAATCCACTATATAGCAAAGCCTTCAAAATGGTCACTTGTTTTCAGTATGTTGATAAGTGCTATTCAGGATCACATATGTTAATCAGTGCTAACAAAACTTGCATGACTAGTGATGTCCTATCTATATTTTGAAGCATGTGTGTGAAGGGATAGACTTGATAGACTAAGCTATCTCTTACTATCCAAATATCATGTTATATATCTTCAAATGACCAATCATATAACTTGACCAATTTGTTTTAGTACCACACTCTTTTGACATTATTTAGACTAGCTTTTTAAAACTCAAATGATTATTTTTACACTTCATTCTTCATGAAAATTGAAGTAACAAAGTGCCAGTTAATACACATTATATATTAACATAACATGTGAGGGACAACAACAGGTTCCTTGGCTCACCATGGCTGTCCCATTCATTTCATAAAATACCCATCTGCCTATATCCAGCCCTGACACCAAAATTACTCGTGAAGCCCTCTCCTGAACTCTCAGAATCCTGTTACACCGACCATGTGTAAAATCAATCTATTTCAAAGGCTGACCAGCCTGTTCAAAAAATAAAATACTCTATTTGCATATGACTTTTACCCTGTCAAACCTTAAGTCTTGGTCCCCTAGCCCTAACACTTTTACCAATAAAAATGAAAAAAGATGATGCACCAATCTTATCTATTTCCTTTATAATTTTGAATATTTCAATCAGGTTCCCTTTAACCCTCCTTTTTTTAAGAGAAAATAATTTTAAGGACCTTAACCTCGCCCCACATGACAACCCCTTTATCCCAAAAATAATCCGAAAGCCATCCTTTGAATCCTTTCCAATAAGTCAGTATCTTTCTTAAAGTAAGGAGCTCAAAACTGAACAAAATATTCTAATACAGCCTAAAGAGAGATCTATATATAATAAAAATAACCTCCTTTGATTTATATTCAATACTTCTGTAGATACAATCTAAAATTTTATTTGTTTTTCAACTGGCAACAGCACACTGCTTGGAAGGCTTAAGAACCTAATCAATCTGAACATGAAGATATTTTTAGCATAACATAATGTTTTGGGACAAGAGGCCTATTAATCTATTTCGGCTGTCCTATCCTCTAAACTAAGCTAAAACTATTATTAAAAAAATAATAATCTTAAAGCCCTTATCATTCATATAATTATCAAGCTTTCTCTTAAACTCATTTAAATTTACTGCCTCTACAGCATCTGAAGGCAACCCATTCCAAATACCAACCATCATGTTACATAAATAAAATTTTCTTAGCTGAAGTTGACTCCAATCTTGCCAAAATTTATGTTTGTGTCCACCAGTCCTACTTTTCTCACTGTTACAAATGAAAAAAAAATGATGCATCAATACTATCAATTCCCTTTCCAATCTTAAACACCTCAATCAGATCTTAATTATTCTTTTTTCAAGAGAAAACAATTTTAGAGATTTCAACCTCTCCTCGTATGACAACCCCCCTATCCCAGGCACCATTCTAGTAACCCTTTCCAACAATTCAATGTCCTTCTTAAGGTAAGGAGCCCAAGACTGAACACAATACTCCAAATGTGGCCTAACCAGTGACCTGTACAATGAAATTATAACCTCTTTAAACTTGTATTCACTATTTCTGGAGGTACAAACTAAAATCCTATTTGCCCTTCCATTAGTAACAGCACACTGCTTGGATGGCTTAAGAGACTGATCAACCATTACACCAAGATTCCTTTCATGAAACTATTAAGAT